GATGAAGCAGTCTTCACCTTAGAAGTCCAGTCTCTGTTCTGACACTCTCCGTAGCACCTGAGTGCCTACCAAGGGACTTACTCCCATGCTCCGTCCCTAATTTTCAACTACTTAGCCTAAGACTGCAGGCGCAAAATCCGTCTTTTTGGAAGAGAGACGCCATCTAAGAGTAATAAATAAAAGATGGTGTTAATGCCGCTTAGGAGCCATCTCTTAATAACCATCAGCTCAGACTAATCACTTCGATAAATCAACATGCGGATGAAAAGTTATTAGGGAATTACCAGGCCGCCCGCCACAAGTCCTCACGGAGACGCCGCCTTGCCTTCCAAGTGCAAGGCCAAGGACTGCCAAATGTTTTTAATAAAAAGAAGCAAAGAGAAAGTTACCTTCTAGTTCACACTTTTTCTCCTAGGGATAAGGTTTCACGAGTAAACAGTACTATCAATGAAGATTTAAGTCTGACTCAAGCCTAGGAACTAATGCCACTAGATTTTGATGAACAAGCCGGTTAATAATTAAACACATGAAAATCATCTATTCAGGATGGATTTAAACCACACGGCTGTCAGAAAGCCTTAACTAGGCTGCTGACATTTTGTTATGCTGTACAGGACAGTCTGAGGCCACAGCGGACAGGACCCACTGGATGGAGCCTGTTTTCAATCTCACCCATCTTGTATCACACAACAACCTGACCACCTGAATCTGTTCTCTCCACACAAAAGATAGTGTCTATCCACAAGTTTGGAATGCTCAAGTACCCAAGTCACAAACGGTGTTGCAACTAACTTCTCAGAGGTCACCAGCTTAGGGGCAGAACCAGGCAAGAAGGAGTCGAATCCACAAGCAGCTGGTGCCTCATCCCAGTGAGGTACTTAGCAGTCATTCCCAGCTACCACTAAGAATACAATGGGGTGGGGGAGGCTTGACTCCTGGACAATGACCCAAATGTACAAGACACCACTTACCAGAGGAGATCTGATGGGACAGGAAAGAGAGTCTTGAGAGGATGGATGCAGACACATGTCAGAGCTCCCAGAGAGATGTAAGTAGCATCAGGCCCTGGAAGGTCGGGCAGGGAGAAAGGGACCCTTCCACAGGCCTCTGAAGCCTTTCACTCTCTCAGGAGCTGTCCTGGCCTGAAGGAGCGTCTACAGACTTCATAAAAATCAGGGGTCTTGGAAAGCCCTACATACCCCATGTCTTCCCATCTTCCTGTCTCCTCTAACTGTTGAATGCAGGGCAGTGCAGCATGATCCACAGAACTATAGGAATCTGTGTGTACATGCCCATGTGTGGGCATATGCACATATATATACATATGTGTGTGTGTGTGTGTGTGTGCTATGAGATAACCTTCTATATGCTGTTAAGTTTTATTTCCATTGGTTAATGAAGGCGTTTCTTTGGTCTATAGCAAGGCAGAAAGAATAATGCTAGGTGGAAAAGACAAATTGAAAATACAGGGAGAAAGAAGGGCAGAATCGAGGGAAATGTGAGCGAGTTGCCCAAGAAGCAAGATGCCAGCAGACTGGTAAAAGCCACGTGGCAATACATAGATTAATAGAAATGGGCTAATTTAAAGGTAAGAGCTAGTTAGTAATAAGCCTGAACTATAGGCCAAGCAGTTTGTAATTAATATTAAGCCTCTGAGTGATTATTTAGAAGTGGCAGAGGAACGGGGCAGAACAGAGAAATCTCTATTTACATGCATGTATGCATATATGTATGTACATGTATGTGCACGTATGTATGTATACATGTATACATGCATACATGTGTGGTGCTGGAAATCAAACCAAAGGGTCTTATACCACTGACTGACATCACACTCCCGCCCTTTTGGGGTTTGGTTATGGGTTTGGTTATGGGTTTGGTTTTATTTTGTTTATATGTTTTCTTGAGATGTAGTCCAACTTGATCTTGAACCCGCAATCTCCCTGCCTTAGTTTCCAGGGTACTTGGATTATCGGTGTATGTCACCATGTCCAGTCTATAATGTATTTAAATTTAACATACCACACAAAATCCCGAGATAATGCAAATACTAAATACCACACCATCATCTTCAACTGAAGTAAAAGTCTGAGGATCCCCAGAAAACAAGGGCTTTGATTAGCTCACAAGTGTAATCTAGTAAGAGGAACTGCAGAAATCAGAGTCCTTATTCTCAACAACACGAAGGACACCAGCTAAATCTGAAGGCTCTCACCCTTAACACAAAGAGCTAACTACTGGGCCTCTCATTTTCTTGTCTCAGCACCCAGCTTAAAGCAAACAAACCAAGAAACTAAACACCCCAGCTGGCACCACCCACAATCCCAGCACCAGGGAGCTAAGGCAGAATATCCGCTCCCTCCAGATCTGCCTGAAGGGCACAGTAGGTAAGGCTTCATCTCCAAGAGACAAGGGCTCTGTGCTCACAAAGCCTGTCAGAAGCCCACACATCCCTGGATGTTTCCAGAGTGAGGACATTCGGACACCAAACTTCTGGACCATCTCCCTGGCAACTAGTGATGTTGGCTGAAGAGGTGTCACCTTCTTAGCACAGACATCCACTCAAAGACAAGAGGAGTAAGGTAGCTGTCCAAGGTCACACACAGGCAACTAAAAGAAGCGGAACATGATTGTCTCCTTCCCAGATCACACACCAGAGGACATGGTAGGGGCGCTTGGGGCTTCAAGGCTCAACCCAAGGGAGGCCCAACAAGTCATCACACAGTCTCAACCTGGTGGGTGTGCAGGCCCGACTCCTGTGGACTAGCCAATCCTGGCCTTTCAATCTGCGCCACACCTCCTACCCATGCCATTCCCAAGAAGCAAGCACCCCAGTTTTTGGATCTCTATGCATACCACCATCCACGTCTAGAACACACCCACCCACTTCCACCCTGCTGTTACTGGACCTCTGTAATCAGCTTCAGTGACACTTCCCATGCTCCAGGCTGCATTGCCCACCATGCTCTTCCATCTGGACCATCTCATCTGTCCCTTCTTTCCCGGGGTGGAAAGGGTGGGTGAGTGAATGCCGAGGAAGAACGGGTGAGCACAATCAACCAGACTTGGAATATTCCTGGGTCCCAACACATGGATGTGGACCAATGAGCCAAGTTAGGGGAGGCAGAGCTGGGCTCCTGAATGAAGAACTCCAGCCACTGACTTACCATATCCACTTTGACTATCTGGCTTTCAGTCTCTTCCAAGGAACCCAGAGACCACCACAGAAAGTCAAACAAAGATGTCCCTCAATGAAGTTAGAGCCTGATATCCCCTAAGTGGAAAATGTGCTTAAGTAAGAACGCATTCAATCTAACTCACCTTTCTGAACATCACAGCTGACCTCAACATGCTCCAGACTTACATCGGCCCAGAGGTGCATAACCAGCTAGCACAAAGCCCGTTTTATAATAATCTATTACTCAAATATTTGTGAGGTCGGTAATCCCAGCAGCCGAGAAGCAGGAGGGCCTTCTCAAGGTCAAGCCTGAACGAGAGCCAGCGGGATGGCCCAGCAGGTCAAAGCACTGACTGAACAAGACTGGAACTCAAAATTCAATCCCTGACACCCACATAATGGACAGAGAAATGGCTTCTGTGAGCTGTCCTGTGACCGCTACACGTTCACTACGGCACACATATCCCCACAAAGAATAAATAAAGGCAAAATAAAAAGTAACAACGCATGCTGACGATCTTACATGTGTGCACACACACCATACAGAGACGGACACCTTGTAGCGATGACAGGATTCAAACACACGGAAGCATTAACGGTCATAACTGGAGGCTGCAGCTCAATGCTGCATAGCCACAGAGAGGAGCACACACAGGGAGGAGCACACACAGGGAGGAGCACACGACACCAAATTCCAAATAGCTGCTATCAAACGACACCACCTCTCTCCAGCTCCAGGTAATCCTGGTAAGTGGGGGGCTTCCGGCAACTAGAATCCACATTGACAGGATATTTTTATTTGAAAATGTTTGTGTATGTTGTCTGTGTGTCTGTACAACTTGTAGGAGTCGGTTCTCTCCTTGCACAACATGGGTCTCAGGAACTGAACTCAAGTCATCAGCCTTGGTAGCAAGCGCCATTAGCTGCTGCGCCATCCCTACAGCCAGTGTTAGGCTTCCTGAAGTTGTTTTGGGCTTAACTGGACAGCCTCTGCTTCCTCAGCCGCAGCTCAGAAGCGTCTCCCGGGAGTCTGTGGCTACAATGGCTAAGTGTGGCAAACTTCTGAAAAGTCCATATGTGCCAACCGGGTAGCCGTGCTTCCCAACGGTAGAGAAATGGGTGACTCTCGGCACCCTAATCGTGAGCACCTGTTGTGGGCTACATACAGACAATACTGGGCGATCACACCAGCCAACCTAAAGTCCACCTTCATAGAGTCTAGCTTCATCCTTTCCTTCAGAGCACTTACCACCGCCTGCCACCACCATCTTGCACACTGGTGTGATGAGCTTTATAGGCCTCCAGTGTCCACTATGGTGGCTCAGAACATGCCAAGAAGGAAGGAACGGGCCAGACATGGCCCCTGTTGCCTCATATCATGACCCTTAGATTTGGTGAGTCTACATATACACGTATATAAATACGTGTGTGTTTGTATGTGTGTGTACACATACATACGTAAATGTATGTATACACACTATAACATGCATATTCTGTGCATATAGTTGTATAATGTGCACCTTTTTATTCACGTGTGCATGCTTACATGTGCAAAGTGCACCTTCACACACAAATGTATACAGAAAGTGTATGAACTACCCAAAAAGTGTGCACAGGACTCCTGGGCTGTTATTGGCTGCCCGGGGTGAGGTGGGGAGGCTGACAAGAAGGGAACTCAGGCAGACTCCGTGCACTGACTCCACAAGCATGAATTAGGCGCCTGGTGCATGCGGGCCTCCGGCGGACAGTGTCCTGCCCTCAGGGCGCGTCCCTTCCGGCGCCGGGCGCTGAGTGACAGCTCCCGGGCCGGCCGCCCGCTTACCTCGGAACTTGAGCTCGTGCTGTGGCTCGAGGCTCAGGACCTGCTCCACCTTCGCCATGATCCTCCCCGTCGGGGGCGGCGGCGCGGGCGGGGGGCGGCGGCCTGGGCGGCGGGGCGCAGGGGCGGAGGGCGAGGCCGCGGTGCCCGGCGAGTTTACGGCACGCACGCACGTATGCACGCACGCCCCGACGCACGCACGCACTACGCACGCACGCTGTAGCGGCCGGCCCGGCAGCGGCCAGAGGCTCCGGCGGCGAAAGGGAGACTGCGCATGCGCATGGTGTCTGAGGCGCAGCAAGGCCCTGCCCGGACGGGGGAGGGCGGAGCTTCCGCACCAGGGGGCGTGGCGTCATGCGGTTTGGGAGGAGGGGCAGTCTCCAGTGAGTCTGTTTAGTTAGCGCCTGCGGGGAGAACTGTTGTTAAGTGCTTTACTTAATAATAATAATTAACAAGAATAAACTTCCACTTTCTTCCCGCACGTGTGGTGCCAGACTCTGCTGAGCCTGAATATAATAAAGTACTTATTATTCTTACAAACACGATGTTTATGGGTTAGTGATATGTGCTAGGCCTTGTGACAGTTCATAAATAACAATTATAAATATAATAAACAGGCAATTATTGTTTGCTTATTTCGTGCCACTCTGCTGAATGCTTTCAGTAACTGTCATAAATAAAAGCTATTCTGCACTCATATTTCCAAGCAGCAAAGCACTACCCCGAACTGTTTGCTAATAGATACCATTATTTGTTTATGCAGGAAATATTTAGAAATACAATAACCGGAAAACGACCTGCTTCACACCTTGCTTGGACCTCATGGAGAGAATAAATTGGTTACACAAATAAATCACATGATTAAAAGAGTCTCAGAGCCTAGATCTGTCTAATGCCCAAAATAGGCACACTCTAAGCTCATATTAGCATGTGACTATTATTTCATTGTGTAACATATACTGTGTGAAATAGACCTTAACAGCCTCCTCCCCAAACATGCATAGATGAAGGAGACAGCACCTCCCCAGGCCCTGTTCTGTGTTCACCGTGCTCTCTGCCCTTCCCATGCGCTGGACCTTTGGGCTTTCTAAATTTGTTAAGAGTATCTTTCATCAAACTCAAGCTTTTCAGTCAACATTTTTCTTAATTTTACTCTTTTTGGTGCTGTTTTACTTTTGTTTCAAAGACAGGGTCTCATATCCCAGTCTGCCTTGAACTCACTATGTAGCTGAGGATAACCTTCATTGTCCTGCCTCCACCTCCCGAGGTCAGGGATTCCCATTCATGCTGGGCTGGAGCTGGTGCCAAGGCTGAATGCCAGCCAGCACCCTACCAGCTGCACTGACTCCCTGCTCTCTAATTTTGTTTTATTTTTGAAGTAGGGTTTCACTACGTAGCCCAGGCTAGCCTGGAACTCACTATGTAGAGGCCAAGCTGACCTCAAGTCTGATGATGATGGTGATGATGGTGGTGATGATGGTGACGTGGTGATGGTGATGATGATGGTGGTGATGATGATGGTGGTGGTGATGGTGACGTGATGATGGTGGTGGTGATGGTGATGGTGGTGGTGATGATGATGGTGATGATTGTAAATTATGCCTGAGAACTTTCTATGTGCCATTTTAAAGAGTGTGGCTCAGTAGTATGGACCACTTTCATGTTGCCTGCAGCTATCTAGCCCACCCATATCCAAAGCTTTCATCTTGCAAAGTTGAAGTTCATCATCGCTTAAACAGTAAGCCCGACTTTCCCTTCCCCGGCCCCAGCCCTTGGCGATCATCGTTCTATGTTCCGTCTCTGAATTTGAGTGTTCTGGTACCTGTGGAAGAGGCATCCTATTAAGTCCTTTGTGACTGGGTTACTTAGCACTGAGACAGGAAGGTATAGAAGCAGTGTGAAGGGGTGAGAAGGGAAGGGCCCCCCAACCACCCTGGCTCATAGTTTGCCTTTCTTTCTGGCTAATATTCAAGAACCTCAGTGCCACTGAATGTCACAGCCTCACTGCAGAGGGCTCAGAGACAATGACTCTTCTGAACCTAGCAGGGGTGACCGCTGACTGGGATTACAGATTGAGCTCTCCCCAAATCCCATGTTCCAGTGAAGTAGTAACCCCATGAATTTTTATAACAACAGGGCAAAGACAGTCATAAAATAGCATTTCTCATATACTTAGGGGGGAACCTGAGGTGGGCAGTTACAGAAGAAAGGGCAGCGCACTACTATAGGCCATAGATACCCCCGACAGCATTCTTAGCCCTTGATTGAAAGGAACTAGGGGTCGATCATACACTCCTAAGGATTTACCTGAGGTGACAGAAGCTGTTAGGCTGGGTACAGAAGAGGGCAAAAGATGGTTCTCCTGTGGTGAACTGGCTCTGGACTTGCAACATTCCAAACCCTCCACATCATTGCAGTTCTGTTCAGTCAATCAGCCTTGGACGAGACAGCTTCTATCCCAGAATTCTCATTCTCATGATAAAGCCAAAGTGCCTGGAGAGTTCATGTGCATCTCTCTAGAGGCACCTCAGACAAGGATTTGAAAACATGGGTGAGTTTCCCCATCTCAGCACACCTCTCTCATCCCTACACTGGAACATTGCACCTCAGGCAAACCCCTTACAGCTTTACTGACAACGCACAATCCTTTAAATAACCCAGCTTGAATATTGTTTTCACTTCATTTCAAACTCTACTTCATCTTTAAACTTTGTAATGATTTGCTTCCTTTGAGGGATGCAATTTAAAGCCACAGGACCGTGCGTGGAGCCATGGCGGAGGCGCCAAAGCGTTAGCAAATGTGGAGCACATGCTGAAAGCCAACACCCAGGAGGCAGAGGCACACAGATCTCCTATGAAGGCCTGTCTGCTCTGCATAGTGAGTTCCAGGCCATCAAAGAGAGCCCTCTTGAGAAGTTGACACCCGTGACTCAGGTGTGTGCTGTCTTTTTCCTATGTCTCTGTCTAAACACTTAGTGAACTCATTCAGTTTGCCTTGCGTCTGGCTCATCTTAAAATTCTTTTCTGTGCTATCGTCAAGCATATGGCCTCACCTGAGCAAAGGTCTCTAAGGGAAAAGAAGCTCTTCAGGCTGCTGGCAGTGGTGTTGGACTGTCTCCCTGCCACCACTGCTGACAGCGGGATGTCCCTCAGGGCCCATCTATTGTGTAACATGTGTGACAATATCGCTTTCAAATGCCACCTCAACCCATCCTCCCACTCGTAACACCTGGAGTTCTCCTTGGCATTTTAATTCATGATGTTTTGGAAACTGCAGGTTGTTTTCCAATAGCAGCTTAGAAAAGGAGTCCAGGGTGTTGTTCTGGGGTCTGCAAAGAAAGAACAGGGTGTGCTGGGCTGCCTTCTGCTCATCCAGAAACTCCTATTTGGCTTTGCTAACATGCTTGCACTCAAACCTATGCACAGTGTCACAAATATTAGCAAAATACCTTTATTACTGGTAATTGTTCTGCAGAGAAGAAAGAGGGAAGGGAGGAGTAGAGGGGGAAGGGGAGAGAGCGGGAGGAAAAAAATAGTCATATCTTCTCATACCAGTTCATGTCTCTTAAGAGAATCATCAGGTGGTGGCTCCCAGCACTAGGGAGGTAGAGACAGGAGGATCTCTGTGAGTTTGAGGCCAGCTTGGTCTACAAGAGCTAGCTCCAGGACAGGCTCCAAAGCTACAGAGAAACCCTGTCTCAGGAAGAGAGAGAGAAATCATCATCATCTTCTTCTTCATCATCATCATCTATTGGACTTAGTCTTGCTGTGTAACTCAGTTGGTTCAGAACTCACTTCCTAGTCCAGGTTGGCTTCCAATTTGCGATCCACCTGCCTCAGTCTTCTGAGAGCCAGCACTGTGGCCATGGACCACTACCATCAGGTCTATGTATCTGCTTAAATCACTTTTCTTTCCACCATCATTGGTGTAGGAGGCTTTTGCATGCTAGTAAGTGTCCTGTGACTTACAGCCCCAGTCCTCTGAAATCCACCTTGACCTGTCATCTTCATGTTCCATATTCTAGAAAGATCTAGACCTTTCTTTGGGTCACTTAGACTGCCAGTAAGCCTTTCGAGTAGTTTTCCATTGTTCACTGTTGGAGTCTACAGCTGTGCTTTGTGCCTTTATATACAAGCGTGGTCACATGGGTTTGCAGCTGACCTCAAGCCCCACCCCAGGCATGATGTCACACAGTTTTACTGTTAGTTTCTCTTTCTGGCTTTCTAGGTGCTCAGCAGTCACAGTACCCAGGTCAATTTGTTCATACAGAACCCCCACAACCTGCCACAAAAGCCACTTTGTGAATGAACCCACTGAGCAGGCAGCGACACAGCAAGGGAAGCAGGATATTATCCAAAGAGTGCACTGTCTGCTTAGTCACTACAGAACCTGCTGTGGGACAATGGCTTTACCCTGTAAACATTTGTTTCTTGTACTTGCTTAATAAAATGCTGATTGGCTGGTAGCAGGCAGGAAGTATAGGCGGGACAATGAGAACAGGAGAATTCTGGGAAGAGGATTCTACAGTCTGCAGTAATGACCCAGTCACAGAAGAAGCAAGATGTGACTGCTTTGCCAAATAAAGTACTGAGCCACGTGGCTAACATAGACAAGAATGATGGGCTCATATAAGTTATAAGAGTTAACAAGACGTCTGAGCTACTAGGCCAATCAGTTTATAACTAATGTAGACCTCTGTGTGATTTCTTTGGGACGAAATGACGGTGGGAACTGGGCAGGACAGAAACCTCAGTCAACAGAATGGTGCCCAACGTGGGGCAACTGCATCCATGTAAAGCCTGAGAGAACTTGAAAAGTAATTCTAGACAGAAAAGAATAGAGTTAAGCATGGCTTATTGATAGCAGCATTTTCTCAGATTGGCTCTGTTTACTAGAGGCAAATGCATCTCATTTAAGAAAGGCTTTCTGACTCAGCTTTAGCTGCAAAAACTTTGCAGCCCTTTTGAGAGGCTCTGCCACAAAACACTTCAATGATGTTTATGAATAGCCTACAGCATGCTTCTTGGTGGCATCACGGACCCTGAAACGCCATAGAGTTGTGGCAATAAACATGGTTCTGGCCGGTCACAGCTTTAATCCTAGCCACATTGCTTAGCAAATTAAAGACTCATGTGGTCAGAAAAAGAGAGATATACTGTAAAGATAGATTCAGACA